GTCAGTAATAAGGAGATACTCTTCTCCTTTGAGATAGAAAAGGTCCGTTCCTATCGTATGCCATGGTCTTGGCTGAATTTCTGTTTGTATCAGTGGTTCCTTTTGCTGTCCACTTTTGTGTTTCTGGCATGTTTCACACTTCCTGACAATGTCTTCAATATCTTTGTTAATATATTTCCAGAACACACTTTCTCTTGCTCTCAGTTTTGTTTTTTTCTAATTCTAAGTGAGGTTCATGCAGTTGTTTTTTTCAGGACTTCTGATTTCATCTTCTGTGGTATGATGATTCGGTATCTCTTCAAGAGCACTTTCATCTCTGTAGTTCCAATATAGACGGCATAGTTGTGGAACATCTTTGATATTTTCTGGCCACCCGTTGTAGATCGTCTCTTTCAGGGCATTGAGTTCTGTGTCTGTTTTTGTGTTCTCTGTGATTCGGTGGATATAGTTATCACTAAACTGCGGCAAGATTTCATGGATTTTTAGGTGTTGTGTTTCCAAAGGTTTTGTCTCTTCATCTGACACAGACAGTCTTGACAGTGCATCTGCAATACACATATATTTCCCTGGAATGTACTTGATGGCTGTAATCTCAACAGCATCCATTGCAATCTTGTCGGTGCTGCCTTTAAGTGCTTGAGATGAATGGATTGAAGCGGTTTGTGGTCGGACACCACAGTGAATTCTTGTCCATATAGGTATGTGTGGAATCTTTCACATCCATAGACTACGGCCAACAACTCTCGTTCTATGTTTGCACAGCGTGTTTCTTGATCAGTGAGGGTTTTACTTGCAAAAACAATTTCCTGCATTAGGGTTGCTCCTAAAACTTTCACAGAGGCATCCACCTGGACAGTGATTTCCTTCTTTGCGTCGAAGAACACAAGTGTGACTTCTTCTGTGATTGCATTTTTTGTTCTCTGAAATGCTTCTTCATGGCTTGGGGACCATTCACACTTGTTTGACTTTGTGAACAGTTCTCTCAGGGGAACATCGTCCTGTACAGTCTTAGTGGCAAGGCGTTTCCTTGCATTCCAGTGTCTATCTGTGCCTTTAGAGTTGCTTTACTCCACTCAGGTAACTTGACTTTAATAGTTGCAAAAGCTTCATACTGTCAGATTTGTTAGGCTTTATTGTCTCAAATGCACAGCTAGATCTATACTGTTCTTCTTCTTTTTCTTTTTCTACTTCTTCTTCTGTTGAGTAATCCTCCATTGTGATTTCATGGGTCTGGTTGTGTCTGAGTTTCCTGCATACTATCTTGGAGTGGTGTAATATCTTGCAATAATTGCATGTTTGGTTTTGAGTAGGGCATTGAAAAAAAAGGGTGTGGGAAACCTCCACAGTTGGTGCAAATAGTTTTGGCCGAATCTTTGAACTAAACCCGTACTTGGGTTTGTATTTATCTGATTGGTTGTAGACTTTAGGTGAAAAGTCTGGACTGACATTTTATGTTGGCTATCTAGTAACCATCCCATTCCTGATTTGGAAATGTCTTCAATTTTGCACATTTGCAGTGCTGTATCCAGTGAAAGTGTACTCTCTCTAAGAAAGCTTTCTTTCAGGGAGTTGTCTCTCCGTCCAACAAAAGCTTTCTTTCAGGGAGTTGTCTCTCCGTCCAACAAAAGCTTTCTTTCAGGGAGTTGTCTCTCCGTCCAACAATAAGTCTGTCTCTTACTAGCTCGTCTTCTAGCTTATCATAATTGCAATTTTTACTTAATTTTCTGAGTTTTTGTGGCTTTAAATTTGTACTTTTCTAAGGTGATGTTTGCTTTGGGAGTGCAGTAGTTATTAAATCTTGCCATTAGTGTGGCCACTTTGTCTCTTTCCTCATCTGGGATTTGCCATGTGTGGTAAATCTCCCTTCCTTCCTCTCCTATGAGGAAGAGGATAGTTTGACATTTCTCTTTCTCAGGCTTGTCATGCACTACTAGATCTACGTATAAAGTTATTGTCTCCCTCCATGACTTCCACTTGTCAGCTAACTAGCCTGTTTCATTCCTGAAATTCACAGGTTGCGGTGTAGTGCTATAATAAAGGGAGGCAAAAACTTTTTGACTTCAGAGATATTAAACTTTTATCTGGTTGCGTCCCTTGGTTCACTCACAGAGCTTGCGTGACGTAGAATCTAGATCTAGGACGAGACGTCGGCAACCTCAATAGCTTGAGCGCACGTATGTAACGAAACTTATTTAGAATCTAGATCCACATAAAGAATTAAATAGTAAAATCTAAATGATTGTACCTATTATCACTTGTTAAGTGGGCAAACCTTTTCACTTCTGACACCATGTTATGATGTTATGTATTCTTGTTGTTTGATCTAAGCAATGATAGTACATAACAAGATGGGCCACTTCTCTCTTTGAGCCAATCAAAAAAGTGTCCTCAAAATTTGGTGGCGCCCTCTTCACAAAAGCGCACTCTTTGCGAACAGAGTTACCCTACTTGAGTTTTAAAAAATCAAAGTGAAACTAGCAAGTTTTGGGATAAATTTCGGAAGAACGCTTTTTTAAAATGGTTACGCTGACAAAAAACCTCTACCAGAGGAAAGGGTGATGGTTTTCTTCGTTTAATTTGACTTTAGAATGAAAGGAGAGAGGTCATTAAAATTTAAAAAAACTAAAACTCCGCACTGAACGTACCCGAACTGCTGATGAACAGCAGTCGATCTGCGCACGCAAGGAGGTGCTATTCCTATTCTTCTTCTGGAAAAACGAAGGAGAGCTTCAAAACAGACTGCAGCGCCATCTGAAGCAAAGAGCATACTTCCTGCGGACACTTTTTTGGCTGAGTGGCCCATCTTGTTATTCACTATCTTTGATCTAAGTCAGACGAGCACAAGACGATAACAAACATTCAGCTATATTGATTTCATAGGGAAAGGGAGTGTTTATTTTCGTATCTAACATCTTCACTATATTCGAATATAAGTATCGAACATCATGACAATAAGTTCGTTGAGTGCCTCTGGATTTGGATTGGCCTCCTTTGTAATCTGGTCCATGTAGATTACGAAGAGCAGAGGGGAGAGATTGCAGCCCTGACTGAAATAAGTTCGTTGAGTGCCTCTGGATCTGGATTGGCCTCCTTTGTAATCTGGTCCATGTAGATTACGAAGAGCAGAGGGGAGAAATTGCAGCCCTGACTGACTCCGGATGTTACTGGAAACCAGTCCGATTTTCCACTGATAGTTCAGGTACGCTTCTGCTGTTGGCATAGATAGCCCTGTTGTTGTCTAACTGTTGTCCCTTGACTGCTTTTATCCGCCGCTTATACCCTTTTGTGTGTCACGGGGTTGTCCCTTGACGCAATATCAAAATAGAATATCATTGAATATATAGTGTATGTTCATTGTATCAATATTGATACTCCTCAATACACGTGCAAAGACAGTTTTACGTTTCCTTGACTTCGCATAGTTTTGCCAAGCTTAATTTTTTTAGATCAATTTTTAATATCTTGGTCATGTTGATGAAATATTAATGCGTCATGTGATGCAGAATTTATTCAGCTTTAAATCGGTATGCTCCATAGCGGGTAGTGCAAGCTTATAACACGATGATTGGATGATTACTTTTTCAACTTTTTTTTTACGCCTCTAATACAGAGAGAGAGAATTACCATGGCTAAGGCTAGTTTCAACAAAAATGAGCCCCATCACGAAAAACAGAAACATCTCAATTAATGACTACCAAAATGAACGTGCTCAAAGCTATGTATGGCCAACTCTTCTATATGGCTGTGAATGCTGGACAATCAATAAAGACAGTGAAAATAAAATAATTCAACAGATACTAAGGTGGCAGTGTTACTATAAATAGGCAAAAGTCATGGATTGCATGTTTATTTTCAAGCTGATTATATGGAGCAGTCATTGTAGAGTATCAAACTTTAACAATTTTAAGATTTATTGTTGTTGTTTCTATTTTACAATGCTTCTGACATAGGGTCAGCTTAGTAATAACTCTTAGAACATAAAGGCAGAGAGTATATATTTTTTCTTTAATACATTTCGTTTTTGATTTTAGCTTGAAAGTGGTATGTTTGATCACCTTTCTCACCATAACATAATATGTGAGGCATCAAGGTGAAATCAGGCTCTCATCAAAATTTTAAAAAACCTGGAGAAACAGACATTTTTCTTCCAGTTTGTCATTTTTAAATCGATTTTTAATTTTTTGACTCATTCCCTTTTATGTTCATATAAAAACACATTTCCGTGTAAATTTTACTGAAAAACGTTGATTTAAGTCACACACTATGTCATTTTTCAGTTTTCAAGAACTCTTTTCGTTATTAGAGTTACCAAACTTTGGCGGCCATTTTCTCGCAAATTTTGCCATTGAAATCAAGCGACCTCATCCCCTTCAATCGCAAATATCTTGACTTTTATTCACGATAGATGGGTATTAAATTTTTTTTAATGAAAGCGAAGAAAATGAAAAAGCTTTCAGATTACATAATAATATGTATATTAAGCCTTTTGCATGAAATTTGGCAAAACTTACTGATATTATTAATTGAACTTCAACTGTACCAAAAGTTGTGATACATTATAGAAATTGGCAAAACAACAATCTAAAAACATTTATTGAAAATGTAAAAAATAATTTTGCAAGTTTTCATTGGTTCTACTGATAATTAAGAGTATGACAGTTCAATCATCTGAGGCAATTTCTTTAAAAGCAACGACTGTCAAAAATGGGTGTAATACCATAAAAACTTATGACCTATAATATTCAGAAAAAATGTTTACCCTCACCATTCTATGAAACAGGTGTATGTGTATTTGTGCTTTGTACATATCTGTTTAATGTTTGTATAGGTGTTTGAAGGTGTGTGTGTGTGTGTGTGCGCGCGTGTGTGTGTGTGTGTGTGTGTGTGTTTGTGTGTATTGGTGTGTGTGTGTGTGTGTATGTGTGTGTGTGTGACAAAGTACAATAGAGCAATTATTGTCTCGGAAGATAGTGTAAAGTACAGAAAAAGAAGTTTCAGTAACATTATGAATTGTGTATTATTTTTCTGATCTATCAATAAATGACCTGACATGAGAGGATGGAACAACTGAACTTTCAAATCACAAAACGTTTGAAGATGTTCTGTCTTTACATTTCTCTATACCAACAACAAAAAGACACGCCGACATCTAAATACATCACTGACATACGGAGGATTCAGTGTCTTGACACTGTCACTCACTGAATGGTCGAATCTTCATTTCACTGAAAGAGACAGAGCCAGATGTTACGCCGTTCCATTTCAAGCCCTTGTTGCCTGTATTGCCCCACTGTCCATTGAGATTCACTATATGGCATTTATCGTACCACCAAGCTCCGTGATAGGCATTAGCACAGCTGCCACCCCATGAATCGTTGTCACGGTCCTTGGTTGAAAACACCTTGTGATTGTGATAAGCCATACTATCACTTGCATTACCCGAAAATCCGGAAAGCTGTAATTTATAATTTTCTGTTTCTCCAGATAGCGAAAAGTTGTCGTAGCTGGCGTAGTAGTTTTTTCCCTGAAATCTCAAATCGATCCTTAGTTCGCATCTCCCCTGGTGATGAGAACGTGAGAACAATTAAAACAACCTGTAGATACACATGGTTTCAATACATACACAATCCAGTGCTATGCCCCACTTGAAATGAAATTTGACAAGGATTTGACAGGTTGAAATCTCTGCCAGGCTTATATATGATATATAATTGACCCTCCCAAAAATTTCCTCTCACCTTAGTGTCCAAGTGGGGGGAGAATGTCCTCGGTTTAGAACTATCCCAAAGTGTATCTGATAGGGCAGTGTAATTACGAATAGTACAGAAGGAATATAAAACATCGGTAAGAAATTTCATGTCAAAAGAAGGAAATAGATATAGGGTTACGGAATCTTTACAGTGGGCAATGTGTTAGTGATGGAGCTAAGGGGTTAGACCTAAATGATGGCAACGATGCATACTTATCCTGCCCAGGAAGAATAAGAAATTAATATCATTTTCTAAAAGCATGTACACGTTTAACTGGAACAGCAGCAGTAGCTAAAAACAACAACAACAACAACAACAACAACAACAACAACAACAATAACAACAACAAAAACTACAAAAACAACAACAGTAAGTAAGACGTCCCAAACCCCCCCCCCCCCCCCCCCCCCCAATCATCAATAACAATGACATAGAAAGACACCAACTTCAAGAACAGCTCCTGCGTCCACCACCACAACATCAGACATTTGTCGTTTATCACTACCGTTACTACAACCATCAGAACCTTCTCTACCCCCACCACAACGTCTACTACTACACAATATGGATTTAACACCGGTTCAGAATACGATCAGGTAATTTAATTGGAGGGAGTTCCGATGTTACGTCCATATCCAAAAGAACCAACCAAATGGGTAGGAGAAGAAAGCTTTGAAAAAGTAAACTTGGACAATTTACAATTGGACAATTTCCATTTTAAAAATAATGAAAGCATTGAGGCTTTCACGTATTTCGACCCTTTACTGCATTACACTGTAAACAACTTGCCTGACTTGTCAGCTGGTGGATTTTCTCTAGTCCGAACCAAAAATTGCCAGAGAGGTCACCAAATCCATTTTTATAGTCCGCCCAGCCACGGAAAAAATCAACGTCCGCAGAAGCGCGTCTCTGCAGACAAAACAGACCATTACGTCAGTTTCTAAGGTCTAGTATCATGAAGCGTACGAAATCACATTGTTTGAATAATTTTCCTAAGCCTTTAACTTCTAAAACAAGAAAAGTGAATATAAAGTTACAAGTAATATCTTATGACAGCACCACGAGCTGAAAGACGAATTTAGAATCTGTTGTACCCTTGGATTTGTCCTCTTCCACTGTCTATTCTTAGTTTATTGAGCGTCAAAAACTTTGACAAATTACCGCCACATAATGTGTCCTTGTGAATATGTATAAAATTATAATGTACACAGATTTATATTTACAACTTGGAGAGTCACTGAACAGATAGAGCGACAAAACAATGTTGATCTCTCTTGTATAGTGCCATTCTGTATTACACCAAACGATTTATGATGATCATAACTGCATATGCATATCTTTCATTACATTTAGTAATACAATATCAGCGCATTTTGCAGTAAAATGTTATGATCAATTCCATTTTTATTGTATCAAGGTCTATTATTATGACTATAAGATAATGTTGAACTGTATTGAATCAGGAAGCATTACTGTAAAACAATGTTCATCTATCCAGTATTATATCAGCCTATATAACTGTAAAATAGTGTTGATTATTCCTGTAGTATATCAGCCTGTAGTACTGTAAAGTAGTGTTAATCTCACCTGTACTGTAGCAGCTTGTACTCACCTGTATCACGATCCAGCCTCCTTGGTCCGTCACCGTGTCACAGACTACAAGTTGACCGCTAGAGAGGAGGATCACCGGCCGAGGACCCAAACCCTTAGCACTGGCGCACGACTGGGGCTGAAGAGTAATGAGCAGAGAGAGAGAGTTTGGTGGACGGCAAAAGGAAAAAAGCCGAGAGAGTTAAAGAGTCATTAAAGTAATGTAAGTCAACTAGTCAGTCAGTTTCTCAGTTTAGTCAATCAGTTTCTCAATCAGTCAACCAGTTTACCACTCAGTCAATCGGCAATTTTATCCCCAGTAATCTAGTCAATTTAACACATTCTCCATCTTCCAGTTTTCCTCCTACTTCATCAATCAGTTTATCACACACTTTATAAGCCAGTTTATCGCATTATCTATGAATCAATTTATCGCACATTCCACCAACCAGGGGACCAGTACTCACTATTGCTTCACTTCCATATAAATTCAACCACTTCTGGGTGAAAATTAACTTGTCAGTATGGGAAGTCAAACTAAGAAAAGTTCTCACCCGTAACTGGCTTTTGACAATGTTCAACTTGCGCTCAAAACTGGCTTCGAGATCCTCCATGACGGACGTCACGTTAACCAGGAGGTCTTGGCTCTGTTGAAGACCCTCTTTCCTGTTCCTGTCCAAGGCAGCTGCCACGTTCTCCAGAATCTGGCGTTTGTGGGATAGCAGTTGGTGAGGACATTCTCTTTTGTATAGTTCCACTGTGTGGCTCAGGGTCTGCAAAGTGAGGACATAATAATAATAATTATAATAATAATAATAATAATAATAATAATAATAATAATAATAATAATAATAATAATAATAATAATAATAATAATAACAATAGTAATTATTATGATTATAATTTTTTTAAAATAATAACAATAATTAAAAAAAATTATAATAATAATTTTTTTAAAATAATGATAATGGTGATATTAGAAATAATAATGCTAATAATAATGATGATAATAATAGTTATAATAATAATAATACTGATAATAACAATAATGATAATAAAAATAATAATAATAATAACGGTGATATTAACAATAATAATAATAATAATAATAATAATAATAATAATAATAATAATGATAATGATGACATTAATAACAATGATTATAACAATAATAACAATCATAATAATAGCAATAATAACAACAATGACAATAATAATGATAATGATAATAATAACAATAATGATAATGATAAGTATAATACTACTGCAGTTACTACTAATAATATTATAAAAATACTAATAATGAAAATATTACTACTACTACTACTACTACTACTACTACTACTACTACTACTACTACTACTACTACTACTACTACTACTACTACTACTACTATTACTACTACTACTATTACTACTACTACAACTACTGCTAATGATAATATGAGAAGAAGAGGAAGAAGAAGAAGAAGAAGAAGAAGAAGAAGAAGAAGAAGAAGAAGAAGAAGAAGAAGAAGAAGAAGAAGAAGAAGAAGAAGAAGAAGAAGAAGAAGAAGATTATTTTAAAAATACCTACATTTTCAGTTCAAGGCACTCTTCATAAATTAATGCTTACATGTCAGTACTCTAGGGAATAAATATTTAGAAAGAGATTCTCACCTGTATCTGACTTTCCAGCTTGCTATCAAAACTCGCTTCTAGCGCCTTCATGGTTGCCGTCATGTTCTGGAGAACGTCTTGTTTTTCCTCTAGACAATTTTTCTTGTTCTCCTTTATGGATGCTGCTACGTATTCCTGGATGTCTTGTTTATGTTGCATACACTGTCTCTTGTTCACATCTACTATTTCACTCAGGATCTGAACTGTGACGTCACTCTTACGAGTGATGGAAGTCGGTAGGCTTTTCTGCCACCCGACTCTGCCGTGGGAATTCAAAATAGTGACGTCACAACGGTACACACCGATTGTATCGTTAGTTGCCAACGGCCAAGAAAGCCGCATATAGCTGTTAGACCCGGAGACAATGCTGCCCGTGGCGGTCACATCTTTAGCTGTTAGTCTGACGTCCACATCATCATCGCGAAGTTCCGCAACACTGGACCATCCACTCAAATGCTTTTTCTGGATTCTCATCAACAGAATTTCCGAAATGTCAGGCTGCTGATAGGGGTTGAAGCAGTTCAGCGAAACTTGTGCTGTCTTTCCGATTTCAATTTCTTCTGACGTAACATTGAGACGCCATGCTTTTGAACACATTACAAGGGCTGCTACCAATATAAGGTTGGTAAATATCCAGGCGGCGTCCATGTTACTAGTACTGCTGGTTATTCTTCACGTACTTTTTGAGGAAAGTCTACAGGAAATATTGAGACAAAACATTAGAACAAGA